ATGGGTATTCTATTGGCATCTAAATACTATAGGTGTGTGAATTCAGCAAAACAATCCAACACAGTGCAGCAGTCCACAATAGTAGGGGGTTATCCACAGAAATTGTTGACTTGAGCCTTTCTCACGCAGCATATTAATATGGCTTTACTTTATATACCTCGTTTTTACACTTTTCTGCTGGATGGTTAAGACCAAGATAAAGCAAGAGCTATCTAACAGGAAATGTAACTTTTGTATCTGATAAGGTCAGCCAAGTCCCCTCAGGATTTATCCTGTAACCCTGTACTGCACTTTGTAGATCCTTTGTCAGTATGGTCTATACTCTGATTCTAACTCCTTCTGCACTTTCCTCCATTTAATTAACCTGAAATGAATGAGCCTGAGGGTGAATTTGAGTCCTACTTGCCTGACATGTGCTTTCCTATCCAGAAGTTTGAAAGAGAGACAACCAGATCTTTTACTGTCTGTGTGCAGAAATAATATGTTCAATAATAAAATATTACATATTGGCCCCTTTGAAATTCAAATAAACAACATGATCATTACTGCGTCACTCTTAGGCAGCTCTGCAGTCCTGGAGCTCATCTCTAGTTTCCCAAAGCTGCTATTCAAAATTAGGTCACTCGGGAAAAAAAAATTGGATAACTCGGGCTTGGAATATAGCTCAGTGGCATAAGTACCTGCCTGGCAAGCACAAGGTCCCAAGTTTGATCTCTGGTACTACTACTACTACTACTACTACTAATAATAATAATAATAATAATAGTAAATTGTTGGGTCACTCTTCTTAGTTGCCCCTCATCTCAACCGGCTGATGGCTTTACATCTTCCTGAAGAGTCTCAGGTGGTCCCAAAGGAAACTCCATCCTAAAAATTGTCTTTTACCTTCAAATCACTCCCTGCCATCTTTAGGGGCTCGGGTGTACTTACCTCTCCACAAGCCCCACATCTGATCTGATTCTAATGTTCACCCTTTCATCAGCAGTCTCCACTTTTCCTTTGCACTGAGCCCATGTTCTTTCCAATTATTTTATTTATTTATTTATTTATTTATTTATTTATTTATTTTGGTGGTACCAGGGATTGAACTCGGGACCTTGCACGTGCCAGGCAAGCACTTATTCCACTAAGCCATCTCTCCCTGGCCCACCGAGCCCATTTTCTAAGCAAATAAATATTTCAATCTTTTGAACACAAAACCTCACCTTAACAATTTTCAAATCATTTATCTCTCAATCAAATTTCTACAAAAAGTACTTATGCTTTTGTACATCTCTTTCTTACTGTACTTGTTACTACTGACTGCCAAGGGCGTTCCCCTGGCACCGCCCTCAGAGTCTCCCTCCCCTGTCATCAACTCTACCTCCCTAAACATCTGTTTCCATCTGGATGCCCCTAAACCTGTATCTCCTGTCACAGCTTAACTCGGGCTCCAGGCTTGCATTTCTGCTGGCCCACAGGTACATGCCCTGTTTCAACCTCAAATATAACATTTCAGAATCCAACTATGTGTCCTTCCCCACTTTACCTATTAATGTCATGCAATTCTAATGGCTATAACATACTGAATATAAAAGGTGGTGGTGGTGGTGGTGATGGTGGTGAAATTCAACTAGTCAGTGGAAGGCTAAGCTATAAGATCTTTAAAATCTCTCCCAGGCTGTCCCCTGGGAAAATGGGAGTACGTGATTAAAGAATAGTAAAACCAAGGCCTACAAATGAGAAAAAGACTCAAAAGAAAAAGACTACAAGATGTGAAACAAGAAACAGGCTAAAAGGGTCCTGGGTGAGTCGGAATACTCCAAGCCTACCACATAATAGCCAGATATGGTTCAACAACTCCATAATACACACTTTGATGTAATGATCCTTGGAGCCGGTGATAATCAGATCTTGTCCACTGGAAATCTGATCTACAGTAAGGCACATAACAGGGCCTAGATGTCCCGTTAACTTTCCTGTAGACTGAAACCTTTAAAAAGAAAGAAAAATGACTCTGTGTGAAAACATTTCTTAGAATGACAGGTATAAGCCTCAACATGAAAGTAACCTATCTTCTGTCATAAAACTTAATTTTCTTTTAGATTTCAGCTCCATTACTATGATACTCTATTCAAACTAGAATTTTTTTTAAAAAACAACCAAACCAATATATTACATATTAGAAGTTTGAAGGAAAAGCCGAGAAATTTCATTTAGGTAGTAAAGCAGGAAAATTCTGAACAAATGATAACAGGTAATATGGACCCCCATATACACCTTAACATGTTAAATGTCCAAGATTGTGACACTTATGTGACTGATGTGTTTGATCGTAGGGTTTAAAGAAAGCAACCATGTTACTAATGACTGAGTCAACAAAAACATGGATAAAGATTATTTTATCACATGCAGGTACACATTTTTACATATACACATATACAGTATACACATCAAACATGTCTGTATGCATAAACCAGTAGACACACATTTATGTGTGTTTGTGTGCAGCAGAAAGTAGGTGACTCATTTCATCAGTTATTATAAAGATATGAAAATGACCAGGACAGATATTGGACAGGAAGAACTGTGTGATGTCAGTGGTCAGAAGGTGACAACAAAAGTATTTCACACCTCAAATTAAGCTCAGTTAAAGTGTGTAAGTCTACACTTCACTGCAAATAAAAATCAAAGATTTTAATTTGTCCTTTTTTTTAAACAACTTTATCTTTTCAATATCTCACAGTTTACATCTATTTCATTATTTTGCATTCATTGAAAACCCTGTGAAGATTTATATTTACGTATTAAATTAATCTTATAAAGAAAGTTGAGACGAAGGGTGTTTAAATGATGCTAAAAAATAATTTTTTCAAAGATAGTGGTGAAACTTAGACAAGAATACATATTCACCTTTAACAAACTCATGTTGAGAAAAAATTAAGAGATTATAACATGAACAGTTTCTGTATTTCTTCCATATAATTTTCCAGAAATGAAAATTAAAAGAAGGGAATATTATAAGTTTGCTGGTGAGGACAGAAGAGACATTCAGATGGTTGTGGTTGTGGTTGTGGTTGTGGTTGTGGTAGACAGAAAAAAACAATGATTTTATACTAACTACTGAGACTGTAAAGTTACATTCCATGAGAACAACATGTTAGTAATACGTGAAGTTGTACTTGGGATATGAAGGAGGTCTGTTTTCTTTAAAATTCTACCTTTTAAGATCCCACATTCTGACAGCGTTTCCAGAAGCCGCGTAGAGGAATGTGCCCGTGGGGTTGAGCGCAATCTGATTGATCTGGTTCTCTCCAGAAGGAATCGCTACGATCCGGTTCGTACTCGCTGAGCAGACATCTCCAAGGTTAACTTGACCGGAAGACCTTCCCAGACACAAAGCAAAGCAAGACAAGTTCATTCCCACACACCCAGCAGGCTGCGTCTGGGATGCCTAGGCAACCAGCCTGCAGGCCACAAGAGCTCTGTCCATCTGTCACCACACACAGCGCACACACAAACGTCTGTGGACTAAGGGATGGACACAACAGGACGGCATGGCTTAACCTCTTCACTTCATGCCTAGCACACGCTGTTAGTAAAGACTAAAATATCATTCAGAAAAGATCAGTTATAAAAGATAAAGACTCAGCAAATGATACAGTGATTCCTAAAAGTGATTCATTTTCCTGCAGGTTTCAAAAGCTCTATGGACTGGCCTCACTAAATTCCTTTTGTGTGCAAAAGTTATTTTGGATTATAGGCATTTGGGACTTCTTAAGTTATTTGCAGTTTTTCTTACTTTAACTTAATTGTAGATCCATATCTACTATGTGTTAAAGTATTAATCATAGTTTATTTCTACTTCCTCAGATTCTCCATGGTATTTTGAACCATTTTTAAACACTTCAGCTGCCTTCTAAAATATTAAGTTATAACCAATCTTTTCAAATTTGATTCTAGTGATTCACCTGAATTGGTAAATTTCTAACTTAACATTTATTGTTCATTTTCTACAAAACTCCTCTTGTGACTTATAATCAATACAGAGAATAATTTCTCTAATTACAAATTACTTAAAAGTCAATACTCTTTACTATATGTATTACATAAATTAGCAAAGGTTAACCTTTTTAATTCTTCCATCACTCATTTAATCATTTACAAGGGTCACTCAATTTTACTTATACAAAATAATTCTCCAATCTCATGACAAAAAGAATCACTGTTTCAGATTTTTAAACATGCTTATAATAACAGACACTGAGCAGAAACCCCATTCTCCAATTGTCCAACGCAACCTACAATTAAGAAATTTGCACTAACCTCAAAGTAGTCTCAGACCTAAAATTATACTCTGTCATTCAATACCTCTTAATTAAAGATTTCAAGTACTTTTTACAATGGTAATTTTAGCCTTTTTACAAGGTTTGTATTTGTTCGACACTAGTAATATAAACCCCTTCTACCAAGTAGAAAATAGCATGAAAAGGTAATATCATAGTACTTGAGAGGAAAGCAGTAAGAAATGTGTACTTAGCACAAATCAAACACAGTTAATCTCTTCCTGTTTATAGTGGACTCATCTTGCCAATCTGCTGGCATTTTTTTTTTCTTGTTTTATCCAGATTTTATTATTGTGAACACTGGTAACAATCAGTGATGCATCCATAGCTCTATATTTTCTTGTGATTTATAAAACAAATAACTGTTTACCCCATATGTTATTAGTTTCTAAGTCACTTACGTCAGTGTTCGAATGCACTTTGCTGAATCTCTAATGTCCCACACCTTAATATAAGATGTTGACACTGTGAAGACCAAACTTGTGTAATTGCAGTATTTTACAGACACGACATTGTTGGGGTGACCCCCCAGGGACATGATCTCCTGCCCAGTCACCAGATTCCATACTTTACAAGAGCGATCTAAAACAGACAAATAAAAACACAGGAATACTATTAATGTGAACAACTTTAGAATCTGCTAATGGTAAAAAGTATTTGAACAATTTCTCCTCTCTGAGAAGGAAATGAGACAGAAAAACAGCAATTACTCAATTAACATGTATCAGGCTTGTTCATCTGTGAGATCCTGGAGCAGGTTTGTTAGCAAGGTAGGTATAAGAGACTGATGGAAGTCAGGGATATCTGGTATATGCATCACATGCTATTAAAACTCTAGTGGTAACGATTTTTGGAATAATCATATAGAGGAGGTCTTGGCTCAGATTACCCTGAATTTAAAATGCCCATCCAGAATCAACCCCCTCAAAATACTGCGTCCTGCCACGCCTGCTCCCCTGCGCCCTCCCGGCATGCTTCGGTAAACACGCACACCACCTCCCCTACTCCCACAGACTGAGGGATGTTATTTTTATTTTCACCCAGAAGGCACAATCACAAAACTTTTCTATTTTGTTTTTCTGACATTCTGAGTATCTTAGTACTCTGGAAAGACAAATCTGAATCACTGCAACACGATAATATTTTCATAAAAGTTTTATTTTTCCACTGGAGAAATTTCTTGTCATTATTCTCAAAGTTCTATCTAGTCTGCCATACTTCCCTTATAAATGGTGAGCAACAAATGTTTGCTGATTAGACTGAATCTTGCAGTCTCACTGAATTCCAAAAATGTTTACTAGCTCCTTAAGTTCCTGGGCATGCTTCCTTTTTATGACTCTTTGTATGATAGGAACCTTCCTGTCCACAACTTCTCTTATATTCTACCTTTTAACCTAGTTGAACTTCATTTCTAAACATACTCTAAATTTGCTTACAGTTCTGCTAGTTTTATTCTTTCATGCTGATCATCAATTCTTACAAGTCAATATCCAATCACCGCATAAAGTTTACCCTAAATGCCTCTGGGTCAAAGCTTCCCATGGTTCTTAAAACTGCATATAATCTCTTCCTTTTGGGGACCCCAAGTCTTCTATTTGAGAACTCTTCAGAGTTGTTCATAGCTGATTTCTAGTTGCTTGCAATTATACCAAAGGTTTCAAGAGTGCAGGACTGGAAATGAGTGGACCAAGATTTCTAATCCTGACTTTTCTACTTAACTAGCTAAATTTACCTGAGAAAACTATTTAACTTCTTCAATCCTGAGATTCTTCATCATTAAAATGAGGGTACAGGGCTAGGGAGATAGCTCAGAAGCATAAGCGCCTGCCTGGCAGGTGCAAGGCCGAGAGTTAAATCCCTGGTACTGCAAAAAAACTAAATTAAATTAAATGAGGTACAATATGTAACCCACTGGAGTTATGGAAATTAAATGATACACTTGTGTAGTGCTTCAAAGTCTCCCAGATTGTACAGAAATGGTGCTTGCTACTGTCTTATTTTTTTTGGCACAGTACAAATTTTAAAAGCCTTTTAGAAATCTCATGTTCACCTGCATCATAAAATCTAGAATCTTACGTTCAATAAGTGCCCGAATTCTGAAGAGAGATGCATTCTCTCACCAAAGCATTCACAAAACTTCAAGAAGCTATACCCTTGTTATGGTTTGTGTCTAGTTGTCCCCCAAAGCCTCATGCAGTCACGGGGCAGACTTCTAGAGTTTGTGATTAACCCATGACCCACTGGGATTATGGGTGTGAGTGCTACACCCAGCCTGGGGCAGACAGCCTGAATGCAACTTAAGGGAGACAGACTTGCTCTCTGTAGCCATTGCTGTCCCAGCTGCTCCCAAAGGCTCCTGCTCTTTGCTTCAGCCATGAAAATGGCTGCCCTCTGCCATGTGCCACTCTGCCTTGGAGCCAGCTGAGTATAGACTGAAACCTCCACTGACTGTGAGCTAAATAAACCTTTCTTTCCTTCATTTTGAGTGTTGGGTATTTGTCCCAGCAATGAGAGAAAAGTAACAGACAACTCTCTTCCTAAATATGCACTGGTTTTCTATTTTATGTAATTCAGGGTTTGGACCAATGATCAGATTCTTAAACTACTTGACTTTTTTAGAGCCTGTCAAAGTTAACCTTAAAACATCTATTAAATATGAGCCTTGTAACTATGGTACCTTTTGATCCAGTGAAGAGAAGATCATCCGTGGAATCCACACACAGCACAGCTTTTGTGTGTCCTTCGGCAATATGAACACACTGCAGGGGAGATGCTCTGATTCCTTTGGAAGCAGGAAATGGGTTGATTATGCCCCTGAGGTACAGAAACAAACAAACAAACAAGACTCACTTCCATGGCTCTTTCATGGGAATAGGTTTATTTTCCCCCCAGATTTACAAAGTTCCTAGAAGTAATTAATAATAAAAGCTAGATTGATCTCTTGGTGCTTTTCAAGCAAAATAACAGATGAAGTATGAAGCAGCAACAGCAGTGTGGGCCGCCTCACAGTTTGGTACCTGCTAACAGCGTGCTCTGCAAACTGGAAAGCCCACGATATGTGGGGAGTTTCCTATTGACAGTTTCAGCTCTCCAAAGTTTAAAAGAAGCAGTACTGGCAGCTGTTTGGTATACTGATTCTGACAAATTAGGAGGAAGTATAAAAAAAGAGTAACTGGCAGACATGGCTCTATGTCCTGCTGGAGTAAACTCCATGTCAAAAACATCATGATGGAGAAAGCGTAACACACTGTCACTGCCACTGCTGAGAAAGCAGAGATGAGGCAGGCAAACTGAAGAAAGCAAAAACTGAAGACAAGATCAGAATAACAGCTCACAGAAATTTAAGGGGAAATTATTCAAAACAATAAGAATGTTAAAGGAAACAAAATAATCTCGAAGAAGATTTAAAACTGAGAATTCTTGCAGACCAAAATTAGAGAAAAAGGAGGGCTGCAAGGAAAGCCAATATTTTGGCCCTAGCCCTCCAAGGTCAATTAAGACTCAGGACATATGAGAACATGTACCGTAACGTCATGTAACTCGGTAGTGTCCCAAATTTTCTGATCAAGGAGATTATGGGGCCAAAGAGGAAAGTGATGGATGATGTAGAGTGTGCCTAAGGAGAGTCACATGGAGAGAAAACATTCTCTCAGGCTTTCACAGAGAGCACATTGGCCAAGCAATTGCCGTGACTCATCCACATGGCTGACACTGACAAAGGTTCTACAATGTGAGGTACAGGATCTCAGGATAAATCCTGAGGGGATTTCACTGACCTTCTCAGACCAAAAAGCTACAACTGTTGTTGCACAGGTCCTGCTTTACCTTGGTCTTAACCATCCAGTAGAAAAGTATGAAGATGAAATATAGGAAGTAAAGCCATGCTGTCATGTTGAGCTGTAGGGGACTCAGGTCAATAATTTCTAACATTGCCAGTTAAACACAAGACCCAATACTATTATGGACTTCTGGACTCTTTTAGAATATTTTGCAGAGTTAACACACCTATAATATTCAAATGATGGAACTAAACAAAAAAGGGTACACAGATGAATGTCCATTTTGTATCTGTGTATTCAAAATGGTTAGGATAGATATACAGTTACATTCTCTTAATGAATAGAAGGATTTGTTCTAATAGTGTTTGTAAACAGGATATCATGTCTGCATCTTGTACAGCAAATAACCACTAGGAAGAGAGTATACAATGTGTTAATTATTGAAACTGTCCTACCAATTTGATTTGAAACTGTCTCATTGCTATTTGTTTCTCAATAAAATTATGGAAAAAAATAAAAAATAAAACTGAGAATTCTTTTTCAATGTTCTGTAGGGTACTCTGTCATAAACTTAGTTATTTCTAGAACTGCTGCTTCATGGCACAGGCTGCACACTACGGGGATATAAGTATTATCAACGTGTTGTTCCTCTCCTACGGAAGCTTAAGATAGAGTCTAAGTTAAAACAATTATATCAGGAAAGCTAAAGGTGAAAAAGAATTACATATAGTATCCTACAACTTACAGGAAGAAGAAGAAAAATTATACCGAAATGCATTCACCTAAGGTAGATGGTATAATGCCAGGAAAAACACAGGACAGAGCAAAGCTACTGTGTTTCTATCTTATTGGTGACAGAGAACACTCTTCAGAAGAAAGGGTGCAGGGCAAAACAGAAGACCACATAAGAAACAGGGAGCTAGAAGGGGCACTGGAGAATGAGGTGGAGCGGAATGAATGTGGCCGAGATGTGGTACAGATCCCCACGCTGAATGTGGTCACTGTGTGGCAAACATACTAATACATACACAGGCTAGGTGCAGAGATGATTAAGAAGAAACACAGGCTCAAGACAAGTGAGATTTGGCAATGGAGCCTCACTCAGAGAGCTCAGATATTTCTTTTTAAATTACTGTGTCACTGGGTTTTGAAAGCATCTGCCATTCTAGAAGAAAAATCATCAGTAGCACTCTTGGAAGTCACAAAGATCAACAAAGGGAACAGAACACAGAGACTTGACTTTCTAAGCAGAAAAAAAAAAAAAAAAAAAAAAGCCAGGTATTCTGTTCTGATTTTTCACCAACATTTCTTTATCTGAACTGTGTTAAGATTGTAAAAAAAAAAAAAAAAAAAAAAAGATTTTACACCTGACAGATGGGAGCAGCTTCTTGCTGAGTCTGACAAAGAAAGATGATAAATCACTATAAATACTTCAAAATATAAATGCAGTGGGATGTGACTTGGTGGTAGAGTTGCTTACCCAGCATGCATGAGTCTGGGGTCAATCCCCAGTACCACATACAAAAAATATTAAAAATAAAAGTTCATTAATAAGCGAAAAAAAAAAAAAAAAGCTCACAAATTTCACAGGACAAGTTTTTTTTTTAATAGGGTTAAAAGGTGACAAATCAGGGAAATGTCACAGTCACAATATATGTCGAGGCCTGAGGAGATGGCTCAGTGGAATAAGCGCTTCCCAGGCAAGCTCAAGGGCCTGAGTTCAACCCCCAGTTCCGCACCAAAACAACAACAACAACAAAAAAAAAAACCCAATATATGTTGACTCTAATAAAACCTATAGGACCAGTTTGAGGACAAGGCAAACATAGTCCTGCTGTGGCTAAATGGATACAAAGGTGGCTGAGGGTCACACCCAAGGAAGGAGTCAATGTCATTGACAACCTGAAAACTCTTCTGTACCTAGCTAATGTTTCCCTGAATTGACATGATAAATTGACACATGAAAAAGCTGGATACTGTACTATGTTGATGGAGGGACATCATTACTGAAAAAAAACCTCACTAGTTTTATGTACCTACTGAGCACTCAAATAACTGGATAAAATTTAAATTGAAAATTTTAATCAAAGATAACCAAATGCTCCAAGTAGGAGACAGAACCAATAATGACCTAAGTCTAAAAAATGAAAATGCCTTGACCATTGAATACAGGATCGAAGGATGAACACTTATTTTTTCTCATTATACCACTTCCGAAGGACCTGGATTCAACCACCACCACCACTACTACTAATGATAATAATAGGAAAACACAGACACTAGAAGTACACATTGTTGGTATTTTATTCTCTACTAAAATTAATCCATTCATATTCTGGGATATAAAAATGTACTTGAAAGTAGTTTTTTAAGTTAAAAACAAATATTGCAAATTTGAACAACAGACTGATCTAAAGGGGGAATAAATGCTTATCTTTGTTCTGTGCCAACCGCTGGAATTTTTTATTTAAAATTTGCTGTCTTCCACCACCATGAACTTTTCTCCTTTGCCAAGCCACCCAGCCATGGAGCCAGCTGAGGATAGCCTGAAGCGTCTACAAACTGAGCTAAATAAACCTTTCTCCTTTAACACTGGGTGTTGGAAATTTTGTCTCAGCAACAAAAGAAAAGTAACTAAGATAGAAGATTCACTTACAATCAGCAATTTGACAATAAACCAAAGGAGACAAGTGAAAAAAGGGGAGGAGACAAAAGGATATGAAGAAACGAGAGAGAAAAAAATTGAGGGTCCTCTCAAAATCCATGAAACATTATTATTTTTTTAAAATGTATAGATTAGTAAAAACTGCTTTGGTAGTATAACTCCTTTCGTTTTTTGTTTGTTTGTTTGATTTCTATTTTCTTAGTATGATGACGTCCTTTTTTATAGTATTCCTGCATCACATGACTGTTTTATTTAAAATTGCTAAACCAATAAGAAAAAAAATACCTACGTCCCACTTAGAGGTAACTGAAACACTTAACCATGAGGAGAAAGCCTTCTTGATATCAATACTCATAAACTTAATTTCTTTTAAGGAAAACATTTAATTATAGACATAAAACACGTACAATTTCTTAAGTTATGATACACTACTTTATCTATAAGGAATGATCACCAAAAGACATTAAAATTAATATGTTGCAAACTATTAGTGCATTTATATGGCGTATAACAAATAAAGCATGCAACAAAAATGAAACTTGCTCAGAATTTCTAGAAAGGCATTTTGGAACACCCATGAGATGTCCAAAGGCGAGAAAGATAGGAAGAAAGTACCTGTGTACCTCCGACAGAGAAGAGTCACTTTCATCAGACCTATAGTGAAAGAGTCAGAGTTATGAGGAGAAAAGATACAGATGTCAACAGGTAAGACACGGACACAGGTTTGAAAACCAACAGCATGAATAACAGAAACACAGCACACACTCCCTCTATGGTGCACTGCTTTGCTATTGCCACCAAATATCAGAAATTTAAGTGGGGAAAGAAATCTGACTCATGTATTCTACCACAGCTTAGAGTAGGGGCTTAGGGGCTCAAGCTTTCTATGTATTACTAATGTGTTGTATCCTCACTTCCAAAATCTACGTACTGGAGAGAAGTAGTACCAAGTACAAGAAATACATCACTGCAAGGTTTCATCCATTAATATGACTAGTACTAAGGGGAAATTTCCCATCTCAATAGCAGATTTAATTCACCTTGGTATTTATTACTGCAGGTTTAGACTGTTGCTGAAGTTTCATGGACACACTGTATGTTTGCGTGGGAGGTCAATCATTTAAAATTTTAATATTCCTTGACTTAACTGTAAGGAGGCCCTCAGTAGGCTTTTAAATTTAGGCAAGAGATGTCTACTGCCACTCCCAGCAGTGAGTGTGACTAATTAGAGTGTGCAAGAGGTTGGGGAGAAGGAGGGCAGGCTGACTGCTGGAGCAGGCTACATCAGAAAGGAGCTCCAAAGAAAGTGACATGAAGACGGGAGTTTTTGAAAGTATTGAGTCAAATATTCTAAGTGTTAGTTTAAAACTGAAAGGCAGTTATTGGTAGTTAATAAAATATTTCAGTAAACACATGAAACTATGATAAGGTTGTAAAGGTTACCAAATGACTGACAGAAAACTTTGTTAACTGTTTATGCATTATAAGTGAAATTTTATAATTCTTGATATAATAAAAATGGATTTCCAAAAAAATAATTTTAATATTCTACTTTTCTGAATTAATGAGAACTGATTATGTAATATTAAAAAGTATTTCATCTAATGATATGCAAAATGTTTACCACTCATCAATTTGAAGGATATGCCATCTATTGCTTAAACTGCATCAATGTCTAATAAATACATAAAAGAATTGATCCATACACATTACTGCAATAAGTTAGTTTAAGTTTATAGGACTTAGCACAGTCAAAACATGGCAGAGAGATCTTAAATGGCATCTTCTAAATTTCAGAGGTCTTTGATGCATACCGGAAGAAAATAGCACAGAAAACAGGCAGGCCTAGGAATGCAGCTCAGTAGGAGGCACTTGTCTGGCATGCATGAGACCCTGGGGTCAATCCCAGGGCTGCAAACAAAAATAAAAAGAAAGAAAAAATGCACAATTGGGGTGGGGGGACGGTGCCAAGCACATACAGCCGCATATCAGTATTCAAAATCTGGTTAGAGTTAATGAATGCCTTGTGGCGATACTGTTAGTACTGAATTCTTGCAAGAGACATTCTGGCTCAATATGGGGGCACTTTTACATCTAATTTACTGAAAATTACATTTTCCGCAGCCTTCCAACCTCTCCTCCCCTATCAGGTCCTCTTAGTCTCCCCCCCACCCCCGGCTCCATCTATAAAGATGTTCTTTTTTTCCAAGAACATTATTACTGCTGTTTTATGGTACATTTTATGCTTTTTTTTTCTTTTTTTTTTTTTTTTTTTTTTTTTTTTTTTTTGGTGGAACCGGGGATTGAACTCAGGCCCCTGCGCTTGCAAGGCAAGTGCTTATTCTACTGAGCTATCTCCCCAGCCCCATGGTATATTTTTCTACAAAAAAAAAAAATCAAATAACACATTATACATATAACGGTGGTCTTTGAAGGTGTCAAATTTACCAAAGATACAAACCTATTCAACTCATGCTATTGAGAATAGAAGTATTTGTAGTTTCATAAAAACTAAAGAATCCCACAAAATTTAACATCAAATGGTCTCAAGATTTTTCAATTCTCATTTCCTTGCAGAAGAAAAGGAAAGACAAGTGGTGAAAATCTGTAACAGGGAATAATGTTCAGCAGGAAAATAATTTTCTCTCACGTGGACCATATGGTTCTTTTACATTTGAAAGATACAGCAAACATGGCATGTGTGCACAAGTCTGACTCCATCTCACGTGGAGACGGCTCACGGTTTCAACAGTCATCAAAGGTTCAGAATGTTCTGGAAATAGTCAGAACTCGTTTCCATAATGACTTACTTATCCTGCTGAACTGATGTGTTTCCCTGAGAAACAGTAAGACGATTAAAGACATTCAGTTCATTACGGGGCCGGCTTGGTGGGGAAGGAGGAGGCGAGAGACTAGCCTCTGAGGTTCCAGAATCTGAGCTACAAGAGAAAGAACATGAAACAGGGGGCTTTAGTGGATTACACTTTGTTAGGGTGGTTATAGGAAACATGCTTTTGCTCATAAAAAGGGGAGCTTTCATTAAAGAATTCCTTCTTTTCTTCCTTGTTTTGTAAGACAAAATGCTCTCCGAACAATTTCATTTAAAATTTTCCCACTGGGATTTGTTACACTGGCCACAAGATAGCACTGAAGGCAGATTCTGTCTCATGAAACTGGAAGGCCAGCAATAAAGCAAGCCAAATTTAGAATTACACAATTTCAGACTTAAGAACAAATTGTTCAGCGTACAGAAAAGAAAGTAAACTTAGAGTTTGAGAGCAATTTGCATCTTCATTTGATTCATTCATTTTATAAAAATTATTTGCTCTATTCTCCCATTTTCCAATTATTCTTGAGACATTCAATTGGGCAGAAGCAAGCAATTAGAATCTTTAAAAATAAAGAAAACCAGGATGACAAGAAGGATCATTTCTACGACATTCAAGTCAGCTAAATCAGTGGTCAAAGTAGGCGGTGTTTTTTTTTGGCACAGGGCATGAGGAGATAAGATGGTCCACTTAGTGCAGAAAATGTATCAGCACTGCTTACATTTATCTTTATGTCAAAGAAATTAAACAAATGGCCTTATTAATATTTATATGTCCACTGAAATAGATGCTGTGCCTCACAGACATGTCTACTATCACACGCAACCCGTGCGGTACCGTAGAGAGCAAGGGAACGATGACTCGCAGCCAGTAGACTTCTGCCCCCTGCTGTGCTGCAATCGATAAAGGCCCAGCGAGGTGGGGCAGTGGGCAGAGCATGTACTGGCCGCCGCGCCAACCTTCACCACGCGAGCATTCCCTGAGGAGTGTATTAGCAGTGCAAACTTGGGAAAACAGCAAGACAACGGCACAACCAGCACTCCCCACGATTGACGCTAGTACTTTTGTCCACTACTCGAAATGGGTAAAGTCAACGTCAGAGGCATTCAAAATTAATTTCAAGTTTCTATAGAAAACAGCTTGAATGTAAATTTAGAAAAATAACTGAAACAGGAGTCAGTGGACCTGAACAGGAATGCGCACTCCAGTTCATTCGCAGGCCTGTGCATGACCAGGAAGTCAGGGGGCACCGGGCCCCGCTGATGCTGACTTGACTGTCCTGATTGGGTACATCAGCACAGAGCCAGGCTCGATCTTCAGACAGACCCTGCAGGATGCGAGCACCCGGCAGCAGACACGGTCTGCAGCCTGGCAGGCTCAGGCACTCGTCACTTACTGCTGCAGCCTGGCAGGCTCAGGCGCTTGTCACTTACTGTTTCTGCTCCTTGGCCTTTGGTCTCTCTGCTCTCTCGTGGGCCTTCCTCCTAGTCACAGGGGAAGGCTCTGGTACTTTTTTTTCTGGTACAGATGACTGTCTGGAACTAAAACAGGAAAAGGATTTTTAATTACCTTGATGTATGAGGATACACGTGTAAGTCTGGTAGTCAATCCAGAATTTTAATAGATTAATAACTAATGAGAAAGATTACTTGAGAATAAAAATATAGGCAGAATAGAAAAATTTTGTATGAGTTAATTTTAGTTAACTATAAAGAAGCTTAACAACTATATTCAACTGAAATTTAATAGATTAATATCTAGAGAAATATTACTGGGAAACAAAAGTAAAATAGGATAGGAAAACTATTAGTTGTTTTCATTTGATATAAACTTAATACCTATAAGTTTTTAAACAGAATTCATATTAAAATGTGCAAACCTATCATCTCTGAATGTAAACATAAATACTATACTGGAAAGTCACTAATAAATACTTAATATGAAGTATAAATGTTAAAGTTTTCTTGAAAATTGCTTTAATTGAAGAAAACTTAATAAAAGTCTATAAGAACAAAATTATCAGGATTTCAGAATATAAGAAACAATGAGATCTAATAAATTAACATTAAAACAGTCACAAAATAGTCATACACGTAATCACACAAAAATGACAAAATTATTCATTAAACTATTATGTAGTAATTAGTAGAAATGTATATTTTAGTAATAAAATTATCCTTGCCTTCTAAGTTTAAAATATTGAATGACTACTATATAATTATAAATTCAAGAATATGACTTTTATACATGATGGTAATGAATTTTAACTTCAAAAAATATATATTTACTATTCCTAGCTAGTTATAGTAATAAAGAAAAAAAAAACCACTAAGGATTAGAAATGAAGATCCCTACAATGGCTTTATATGACTCTGTTTAAAAGACAAAATCAGCCGGGGAGATGGCTCAGTGGAATAAGCGCTTCCCTGGCAAG